GTTTGTACTCGTGTGCATGCATTGCCTCCATTTAAAGCAAACATTTATGTCTAGCCGCAGTGCTGGTAGACATGGTTGTCCCTTGTCGTTCTGCATGCTAGATAATGCAGCAAATGACGCAGGGCGTGTTATAAGATGGCCATAAAGTTATCTTATTTACCTTCCGGGACCATCATCAGGTCCATCAGGACCAGGAGAACCAGTTGGCATCTTGCTGACCCGTGGATCTCTGTGAAGCCGTAAATCAAGACCCCATCTAAATGACCACACACCACTCTCCATCAAAGGTTTACTGTTTAGTCTATATATCTGACCAGACTGCTTTACATCACGATCATTACAACAATCAATAAAGACAAAAGACTTCTGCTTTTGTCTTTTTTGATTGTTGTAATGATCGTTATTCAGTTAGAGTGTATGTTGACTGAGTGACCACTGCCTTGGAAAGTGTTTGATTTTCAATAGAAGCCCAAGTGATAGTAACTGAAGATGAACTGGTAAAATCTCACCCTGTTGATCTACTCAACCTGCTGCCTGACTTTCTTAACCTCTAGCTGTCTGAACATAAAAGGCAGAAGAGGGAAATGCTAATATATACATTGAGGATAAAGAGGAAGGAGATCAGAGAAATCCAAATTAAATATGCAAGGACATCTCTTACGTGCATTAATGAAGAGGGAACGAGCGCTGTGTTAATGACGAGGGATTTGAGGCTTCCGTGTGAGAGTGGGATCAAGAATGCGCTGCTGGAGAGGCTCATTACTGTGGCCTACACCGACTCCTACCTGTGTGAGCGTGCATATACGCATATTTAATGTGCGGGTGACAGAAGGAAATATAGAGTTCATGCACAGGGCTTTACAGGCTCGACTATGTGTATCATAATGTGTATCGATGGTTGGATATATATATAAAGCACACCCATGCATAGAGACATACATAAGCTAAAGAAAATAACATACATACGTTAGAACATATAAAAGATGCAGAAAAACTTCAGCGTGAGTGTGTTCTGTCACACTGGGTTAGCTCTGATTAAAGCTGGGGGCTTCGACAAGCAGGATACATCCCTTGTGGTTTGTAACACTCTAGAATCAGGGAGCTTATCAAATCATACATACTGCACTGCAGGCTGTTGCTCGAAAGTATTAGATTAACTAATAAAAAAAAAGAGCATGAAAAAGCTAAATAAACCACCTTACCAAAATCTAGTGCTGTTCTCATAACAGAGTTTACCCAAATCAAGTCATCAATTTGACTGATACTTAATACTGGTTTTATTTAATGAGGTGGTTCCTACTTTTTGTCATCCATTTCCTTACTTTTGTATTTTTTAAATATTCATCATCAATACACTCTAGCTAGGTTATGACTAATACTATAATATTCATGGCTATCACCCAGTTACACTAAAGTGCAGTACACCTACAGACCAGGCACCATACACTAAACTCCCACAGTATAACAGCCTACATGTGAATATGTAGACTCACATTTTATTGGCTATACTCACATCTTACATGATTATCATCTGTGATGTGAAAACAGCTGATTTCTGCAGTCAATGAAATAAACAGTCAATGTCCTAATCATAGTTCAGTAATAATATCCTGACACACTGTAGAGTGTCTGTCCTGCGTATTGCTGGCATAGATGGTACAGTGTTGATTAAACTGGGAGGCAGTAGAGGAAGCAGAGTCAGAGCCAGATATTGAGTGTATTTTTCACATAAGAGAAAGAAAAGTAGCTATTCCTCATAATTGAGAAGTTGTAACAAAGGAATGAAAAAAAGTCTATTGGCAGAAATGGAATATAATATTCATAGGTATGTTTTCATATCCTGAAAATAAGAATTGTTTTGTTTTCGTTAGCTCAAAATGAGCTGTTGTTGAACCGCCATGTTTCAACAGTAGCCCAGAACAGTCAGACTGCAACTATCTGCAGGCCACTCTGAACCCAAACTGACTGCAAAACATATAAAAAGTCAAACGCCCCTATCTGCAGACAGTTTTTGGTTCGTTCCTTCTGGACTACTGGAGAAAGAAAGAGGGATTTGAGGGGGGATGAGGAGGGATGATATCCCCCTTGTTAGCAAAATGACTAAAATACAGGCCCCTTGTTATCCTGCCATCCCCCCTTCAAAATCACTAATGATCTGGGTCCGGACCCAAATGGCGACCTGTAACAGATTGTAACAGAGGTTTAGCGCCCCTGGAAACTCACAGACCAATTGCATGTGCTGTAAATCACCTCACTTGATGCCACTCAACCAATCGAATCTGTGCATTCTGGTAAGCATTACGACTCGACTCAGTGTGTGAGACACACACACACACACTGGCAAGAGACTAGACAAGAGACAACAGTTGGAGGAATAAGTGAGTCAGAGAAAAGTAATTTCAAATGGCATGCTCTCATAAAAAGAATGGTGAGAGAAAATTTCCTCAAGCAAAGGTTTGGGAACATCATGATGTCTAACTTTAGCGTTATGAACTCATTGATCCTTTGACTGACTGAGGTTTGCGCAAGTTCCCGAATCCCAACCAATGCTCTCAGATACAGACTCTGCTGTGTATAAATCCATAGTGCTGTCCGTGGTGCTGAACTGACACACAGCTTTTTCTCTCTGTCTCAAACTTCTGTCACTTTCATCTGGGATCCATAACATTCTTATTCTCAGCTTAGGCCTACTTAAAAGAACTTCACATTACTAGGGTGCTCCCATTGGGCCATCCCCCTTGTTAAAAATGAATAATTACCTACTGTGTAATAATGGTAATATGGTGGTCATGATGGCAGACTATATGGAAGGCAAGCTCATTCTAAGACAACGAAAACACAACGCCTCTTATTTTCAGGTGATTATAGATTCATGAAAACATACCTCTGAATATATATTATATTGTCATTATTCATTATTGAGCCTCCTAAATGTTACACAATGGACCTTCAAACAATTAATCGATTATCAAAATAGTTGAAGTTTTCTGTCTAAAGAGTAAACTTGTCAGCTCATTACCCCTCTCTTTTTCCGTTAAAGTTACACTAGATTTGCAGTTAGGTCATTTTGAAACATGACTAGTTTTGTAACCTGCCATGCTGTTATCTGGTGTTACTACTTACTGTGCAATGACAATGAGGTTAGAGCCTATTTTAGTTAACACCTGGCTTTCCAAGGTGTCCTTAAGTAAGATACTGAATCAGCTGTAGGGATAGTTGTGCGTCTGAGCCACCGCCTGACCTCCCAGAACTTTTAAGCAAGACAAGAGGGAATTCTTGCTTGGATTAGGCATGAATTTTCATGCGAGCTCAAGGTGAAAGAAGTAATTTGGAGTCAGGATTATAATCAGCTTTTAAGGTGAAAGTAGAACACAGAGCATCCAAAATAAATTTTGAAGCTGGTTTTGAAATCTTAGAATTATCTGAGGAAGAATCCCTCATTTTAATTACCCCTCCATTTAAAACCTTGCTGATCCCAGTAAAAGTGATTGTGCTAAAATGTGTAATTGTCCATGAAACAATTCCAAACACGACAGTCCTTTATAAAAAGTAATTATTTTTAAAGTCAAAAAAAGGTGTATTATTTTGCAGTGAGCCGAGCAGTAAACATCAATCACACCTTCAGTAAAGTAGAAAGAGCTATTATGCTTGTCATGGATGGCTGGATAGAAAATTAAATATGTGTTAAATAATTCATCAAATGTACAAATGTACATGAACAGGACACATCTTTCCATGGTGTAAGCAGTTGTAAACACAAGACTGATTTAAAGAAAGGCTATTGGGTAAAAATGAAATCAAGTAGTATTAATCACTTCAGTATTATGACAGGCAATAACTCTCACTGCTTAGCAACCAATTCCTGCAGGGCAACAGTCGGAGTGATGAGATTTGCCAAGGGATCTCCTCTCTAAAGTTATGAAAGTGTCCATTGTGTGGCAGCAGATATCTTATACATATTGTTCTCTCTCACTTTTCAGCAGCTCCTGTTGTGTTTCAGCTGCTGTTATTAATTATTCAAACAAACATATAAGAGGATCAATAAAGCAACATTGCAAATCATAGTTTTTCTGTTTCATAAAGTATTTAATAGCAGGCACAGCTCCTGTTCTCTGTTCTGTGAATTGCATACATACTAAGGCTTTGGCTACACAGAATATGTAACATATATAGACCAATGTGCTGGAGAATGTATCTTTTTCTGGCTTAACTTGCAGCACAATTACAGTGTAGGGTTGTGTGATGGACGCAGGAACTAGGGGTGCAGCACCCTCTAAAATCAGACATTATCAAAACCATTAATGAATTACAAAAATGTTATGCAGACTGGCAACAGAGAGAGAGACAAAGAGAGAGCTCTTGTAGATGAGCAAGAGAGAGGGAGCATGTGAATATGGACAGAAGTATTGACGTGATAAAAACTTTTTTGATCATGAAGCCTAATGTTACTCTGCTATTCTGTGATCAGTGGAGTGTATGAACTGCAGACTGGAGTGTCTGTTAACAGTGGCAAACAGACAAATCTGCATTATATACGCTCATCTCACTGCGCTGCATAATTATGAACTATGGCCATCACTCTCCAACTGTGACTGACTGACTAACTGACCAGCGTCTATGTGTGAGTGGCAAAACAAGATGGTGAGCTTTCATTTTAGAAATTGTGTCCTCAGTTTCCGGACCCAGCACAGCAATGTTAAACCTCAACTTGTCCCCCTGATTGTGTAATATTGGTAAGTTAACATCTACAAACTACATTTCCCTGCCATTCACTCTGCTATTTCAATCTCTCCTCAGATATTATACAATATAGAGACTTTATGACCAGTTTCTGTGTAAAAGGGCTGCGCACATACCCGCCACTTAAATGCTGCTCACATGCCCAGTGTAGCCAGTTTCAATTATCATAGCTTAGCAGTAGTGTAGTGTTCAATGTAGCCAGCCCGTAAGAAGTCTGTAGTTAAATCTACACAAACAAAATCGCTGTGTTAATGTCTTACCTTAAACAGGCGTAGTATGTTGGCCACCATGATGGAGACGGAGCTGGAGGAGGCTCCAATGACGCCCACCACCCTCTCAGGTTTGGTGATGATTGGCGATCCCCCGCCCAGACATTTGACGTCTGTGCCGTCCTTTTCAATCAGAGCCTGCACGAAGGTGAGCGACTGCTCCAAGGCGTGAGTGTCCCTGGAACAGGTGTCCAGGACTCGTGCCCCCAGTGTGATGTTAGGCAGCAGATTATTATCATTATTGATGCGGTCAAGGGCAAAGAGCATGGCCTCCAGTCTGTGTATACCCTTCTCCTTCTTCAGCTCCCCACATGGCTTGCCATCGTGGCCCCTGGCGTGTACTGGGAAGAGCCCACCTAAGGAGATATCCCCGTCAATGCGGATGGAGTTCAAATGTGTGTGTCCCGGCCCTTTGGGTTTGGCAGCCTGAGACGCCTTGAGGGAGCTGTACAGAAGCAGCAGCAGCAGCAGTGGCACAATCAGGCTGTTTCGTCGACAGCCGGTCCGATCCGGTCTGCACACCGGGGGTTGAAACATGACCACGGTCCGAGCACACATCCACGCCATACAACCAAACCCAGCAATCAGAAAACAACAGAAGCCAGGTATTATTTTATGATGGCCAGAGGGTTAATTGCAATACCTCTTGAAGCAGCTGGCACAGAAAAGACTTCCTCTCATGTCTCTCCTCTCTCCCAGGCATTCAATTAATGTAGAATATGAGCTTGGCTCTTTCACAGGATGTAATCCTGTTCTCTTCTCCTCTTTCACTCCCTCACTCCATCATCTGACCACAGTGGTGGGCAGCTGCTCTTGTGCCTTCTGTTATTCACAGACTTGCCTATGGAGATCCTTCACTTGGGGCATTAGGAAGAACAAAGGTGAACGATAAGCTTTTTCTCTCTGTCTCTCCCCTCCTCTCTCTCTCTCTGTTTCTTTCCTCTCCACCTCAATCAGAAGTTTTTAATCTCCCCTGCTCCCCTGGGCAGGGATTTGGTATATGTCAGAGCCCTCAGGCTTGCTTAGGTCCACAGGCTTCAGAGTGAATTCCTGAAAGATGAAAAAGAGAAGAGTAGTGAGACAGTGCACAGAGAAAACAGAAAAAAGGCAAAGGCATTGGTATTGGTAAGAGCTTTTTTCAATTCCTGTTTCTTTCTTAACCTTTTTACTGCAGCATTATGTGGAATGAAGAGACAGTTATGCTCCCAAAACTCATTTATTTCTCTTATGTAGTATTCCTAGGTCTACCATTTTGAATTCAAAAGGTTTCCATGAACTCTCAAGGTTGACAGGGCTGAGTGTCAGATCTCTGTGGTTCATTTTCATCTATCAACCTTGTCAGCAGATACATTCAGTCTGTATCACAACATTGTGACAATCTGTCTATTATGTTTTTTATTTCTGCTGTTGATTTAACTTGAAACTGGAGAATTTAAACTTTTTTATGGTTACACAAGACTCTGCCGTTGCTATTGGCAGTGGTAGTTAGGTTGCTGTTCTGTCTTGGTACTTTGCTAAGAAATTATTATTTTTGAGAAAATGTATCACCATTACTCCCACATTATTTCTTCAAAGCCTGTCAAATCATTAGTAACATTAGGGGTTTAAAGGGAAGTTCAAAAGGACTGAATAGGCTACTGATGAAGCTGATATCTCTTTGTACCAAATGGACCACTCCAGCATTACCTAGGTATTTCTGCTTACTACAGGCAAAATCAATTACATATATTATAATAGAATTCATATGTGGGTCCCAGAGTCTCTTAAGCTTGTCTCAGTCTATGCCTTGCAGGGCAGAAAAGTACAACATACCGACGGGGGTATGGTCTAAGAAAGAGTTTTAAATTGTAATTATACTATTACAGATGGAGAGCAGCTTTTATATCCAAAGTTGGCATGGAGAAAAATATCCACCTTAAGAAATCACTGCATTAGGCAAGCAGACTTCTGATTCAAAGCAGCCATTAACACAGCAGAAGATACAGTACATTTTCAAAAATGACTGAAATATAATCCAGATCACTGGTGCCTGTAATTTAGCCCAGGAAGGATTATAAATATTTTACACATACTGATCACATGTAGAAACAGAGCTTCGATGAATTAAAATCTTGAAGCCAAAGCCTTAATTTCAGCTCTATGATGGCAGTCGTACCTCACTAATGCAGCAACTTATCGGTTAATCTGCTGATTATTTTTTTGTTTAAAAGCTTGAGCTACAAAACATCAAAACTATATTATTACATTTTATGACTGTAAAAGGTGAATCCTTACACTAATCTAATAAATGTTTTTTAGCTTTAAACTTAAACTACATCTGTTTTGATGTGGTTCTGTTAATTGTTTCACTACCGTCACAGTTATTAGGCACAGATTCTCTACAGACTCAACTGCTGCAAACAAGCCAGTGAGGTACATAATGCAGATTTAAAGCTTTTTGAGTTTCTTAGCTCTATCCTTCAATGCACATTTGCACACCATGACACTTTCATTCCATCCCTTTTCTTTTCTTCTCCCTCTGACACACACAATAGATGCATGCCATATAGACACAAAATATGCCACTACAAGCTATCTTGTATGTACATATCTACACCCCGTTCATTCCCCAAGCTGTAATAGGCTCTGAAGGAACAATCTCCCCTGCACACAGTCGCAGAATGGGCTGTAGACATTGGTTTTCCACCGGAGTGGGTTGAAGGCTTGGATCAGCAACGGCTGAGATTCATTGAGAGCATATTGGAAGTGACAAGGTCCTTTGAATACACCCAACTATCTCCTACTGAGTGAGAAGTAATTTTTCAGAGTTGATTCACTGCAGGTCCACTTTAACTGCTGCAGAGCAGATGACAACTGGAAAGCCAGCCAATTCACCTTAGCCCCCATAACCAAATACAAACCATGCACCAGCATATCTAACATCAGAGCATTCACTCAGGAGAAGGCAGTGAGCTGCCAACACAGCTCTGTATAGATAGGCAAGAGGGAAAAAATACAGCTGTAAACATTGAAGAATTCAAATAAGAAACTGTTCTGCAAGACTGCAGATTTCAAGACAGATGTCATCAAACTTCATGTTTGTACAAAATACAAGCTGGTGGGGAGACAGCTCATATGTCTCCCTCAGACTGAAAAACAGCTCGCCAATCTAAAAGGAATATCTCGAGTGCAACTGCAGGAAAAAGATCTTACACCTCGCAAGATTACATTAAGCATTATCGTGTTAATCAGCTTGTTTTGTCTCTTTCCAGATGGATATCTTATAGTGTTTCTCTTTGACCAGGATGTACATAATTCATTCTTTAATCTTAAAGATCTCAGTGCTATGGGGGGTGGGCTGGCTATACCCACTGAATAAATCATTTCAGAAACAAGCATCACTCTGTTGAAACCTATGAATCCCATTTTAATCAAGCACCAGGGTAAGGGTAGACCACCTTTCAGAGCTCTATTCAACGACATGTAGTGATGTAGTAACTGAATGGAGAGTGCAGTATTAGCATACTCAGTGAAATCCTGTTACACATTATCAGTGTTTTCACTGTCCGTCTTATTTCCAGAACTACCTGTAATATGCTGTATGTTACATAGATTTGACTGTGTGGCTCATATTACAATTTCCAAACCTGACACACATCTGCTTTTGAGGCACTGCAACATACACAGTGCTCGGAAGAAAAAAAAACAGGTTACAGTGGTATTGACCGAAAAGGCAAAATGTGTGTATGTTTACAGATCACCCCATAATGGCATACCTCAATAAGCAATGTACAACAGAGACTTGAGAAAAACAAACAAAAATGCTTACCAGCTACAAAATGTCAAAGACAGCTGCAGGAATTACAGGAGATTCATATCAGGAGAACAACTTTTCCTCAGGTGCAAAAGCATGTTTCAGAATTACCATGCATTTGTTTCAAAAGGCCATACAATAACCTTCAGGCAAATAAGTGTGTTGTCACATAGCCACACAAGCTACACCAGCAGCTGAACATACAGTAAAACCTTAACCTGATAAGGGCAAAACCAAAATCTGTTTACAATGATATTTCTTCAACAATTTAAAGATGTTTTTCTGTGTTTACTTTTTGCACATTAAAGATGCCAGTTTTAGCAACCTCGAAGATTTAACTTACTGAGTAGGATATTCTTGACTGAAAGATTATCAAATAAAACATATTTTAATGTGCACATGAAGACACAGTGTGGGTGTTGTTTTACATTGTGTCTGTCTCGCATCGCCTACACATCTGTCACCAAGATTAGTTTCCAAGTATACAGACAATTTTGATATATAGGAAGTGTTACAATGGTTTGATGGTGTTTGAGGGAGGACTAGAGACAGTCTCTGTTTAAATAGAGCATACATAGCTAAGTCATTGGGGAAGATGTGATCTAGAAAGATCTGCAAACATACTGTAGACTCAGGTTGCTAAGAGTAACAAAGCTGCAAACACAATTTATTTTCAGTGAGAAGTATGCGTCCCTTCCACTCTCCTCAACCCGCCTGCCCTTACAAATGCACTTGACTGGAAAAAAACTTAAGATGTGTTCCCTTTGAAGATGAAGAATGTGTTGTGCAGACTGACCCCTACACCTTGAAACTCCCTCATATTTTTTTACCACTTTTACAGCTCCGGCCCAAGCATTTTATAGTCCAATCAGCACTGCAAAATGAACATAATAAATACAAACAAGGGTACATCTGAAATAAATGTGTATTTATATTGGGCAGATTATTCCCCTCTTCATGTTCTGAGACCTGAGCAGCTGCTGGTTGGCAAAGCCAGCCATGGAAACTTTTAGAGATCTGCTGTAGCTCTCTTCTCACAGATGGGCAGGAGGGGCTCTCTAATTGACACTCCAGCATGTTGATGCTGCACAGCAGATCAATAGGAAGGTAGAGGAAGGCTGCCCTGAGGAAAATGAATGGAGAGAGCAGGGCTAAGCTGCACACGAGGACTGGAGAGCTTAGAAGAGGCAGCCACTATGTTTCTAGTGAAAGGAAAAATGACTAAAATGAGCCTTAAAAGGATGCATCAATAAGAATGGATCAAACTTTCAATGTTGCTCTTTGTTCACATTTGGGGGTAATACCTTAATTTTTGAACAGCAAAAACAGAAAACTGCAATGCAGTTAGTGGAATACACTGAACTGAGCTTGCCATCTGTCACAGATCTGCTTTTTTAGCACATCAACCCAGCTTTTCCCAGCCTGAAAAATTCTGACACTGTTCTAATAGAAAAAATATTTTGTTTTGTTTTACCTGCAGTTTTATTGTATAATTGTGAGCCGCATTGCCATTTTCAGAATAATATTGTGCAGCATTATATTGCATGCCTGTGCCAATCTATAATCAGCATCTATAGTTACATGAGGTAAAAATAGGAAATTATTTAGCGCTACAATTATAAAACTGCTGTTTATCTCCTCAATAATTAGATAAATTGTCTTGTGTAAAAAATATATAATTTGGTGGTCATGTATTGAAAGGTTTTTGAGCCCACCCAACAAAACCTGCAGATATTCAGTTTACAATTATAGAAAATAGAAAAAAGCAGCAAAA